TTTCTTTATAAATAGTAAAAATATATAGCCAAACAAAACCTCAGTGACACCTGTTAAAGCATGTAATTTGTACCCAATCTTATATTTTAATTTCTTAGAATATCAATTAAAAAATATTTCATCCAATTTATTTAATAAACATAATTTAATTAATTAACTGATAAAATAATATTTCATTTAAAATATTCATAAATTTTAAAATTATATTTAGAAAAATCTATAAATAATATAAGAATAATTTAATAATAATCGTCATAGGTTTCAAATTATATTGACGTTAAAACTATTTATGTGAACTTTTAGCGTGTCTCTTCAGTTTTTCTCTATTTTCTCTCGTTTCCCCCAAAAAATAATATGTATTTCTCTCTTAGGATAATAACTTTTAAATGAAGCTACTAACTTATTAGATCAAAGTCATAAAAGTTAACATTTTTATTTGAAAATATATTTTGCAAAAAATAATATTTATTTTGTAAAAATAGCATACATTATATTTTGCCTTCACTAAAAAAAATATAAATCCACCACAAAAACCTCAATAAAAATAAACAACAAAATGGATTAAACAATAAAAATGATTGACCAAATTAAGAATTCAATCTCCTATTGTTCCTCTAGTTTGTCAACTCACTGTTTTAAATTTAATAATATTAATAACAAGATAATTATATTATTAATTATGATTTTATAATTTTATATTCATAATAATAATAATATTATTATTATTAGTATTAATAGTAAAATTATATTAATAATGAACAATTATTAGTACAAATAATATTAATAAATAAATAATAATTATGTATATTAAAATTATTATTATTATTAATTATAATAATGATAAATTGTTTTTATAAAAGTAAGTATAGTAATTATTAAAATATGATAATCAAATTGATGTCATTTTATTATTTTGTTATTATAATTAGTAATAAAATTTTGATTATATATTTTAATTATTATTATAATTATTAATAAATTAAATAAAGATAAGTAAGTTTTATATTATTAATAATTAGTATTATTGATATTATTCTATCATTAATAATTATAGTTATATTATTTTTTATATATTATTATTATTATTTATATGATAAAAATTATAGCAATTTGATTATTAATAATTATTAAAAAAAATTATTATAAAATATTATTATTATTATAAAATATATTATTAATTAAATTAATAATATAATAATGATTATTATAATATAGAACATAGTAATACATTTTTTATATAAATATATATAAAAATTGTTTTATTTAATATAATTTTATTTTAAAAATAAAAATGTAAATGTTAAATTTGTATTATGAAATACAATTTCTTTATTTTTAAAATCGTGTTTTCTAATTTAACTTATCAAAATTCATAATTTGTTTTTAAATTTACCCATTTATTAATATTTTTTAAAATTATCTCGTAAAAAAATACCTATATTCATACAAAAAACTAATTGATTTTTAAAAACTGATCTTAAAATTCAATTTAATTAAATATAATGTTTTTAATTTTGTAATTTTTTAATATATATATATATATATATATTAGTGTATTTGGATGAAAAACTTTTAATTTTTTAATGGAAATTGCATTGTTTTATAATAAAAATATGTTATTAAGGTTACTAATTAAAAAAGATAAAATTTAATCAATTTATAGAGTATTTTATTATTTAAAAATAATTAATTTTAAATTAATTTAAATTAAATAAGAATCCTAAAATTTTAATATTTTATTTTCTCTAAAATTAATGTTCCTAAACATTATCAATTTGGTTGAGATTAAAATATTGTCGGCTTAAAATAATTGTTTTAAAATATTTGACAAGTGATCGTAGTTATTTTTCAGGATATTGTTATATTTATTTTTATTTTTTCGACATATTTCATTATTATTTGTGAGTCAATATTAGTTAAAGCAACTAATATTCAACACAATATTTTCTATCAACATTAATTAAATTTATTTTTAATTGATACTAGTGAAGAGTATTTTTTGACCAGCTAAGGTCATGATTATTTTCTTGCCAAAATCAAACACGGTTTTAGTAAGAATTTTTCCATCCAATATGGGTGGAACTATTTTTTAGTGAAATCATCTCTTCTTCTTTTTTTTTTTTCTTAAAATGGGTTGCAGTTAATTTTATTTTTTTTAAATGTTGGAAGAGGTTATTTTTCCAACATTTTTGATTAATATTGATTAAATTTCTTTTAGGCAGTGATGAGAATTTTTTTGTGACATCGATTAAAAAAAAATCACTAACGACATATGAAAAATAATATTAATATATGTAACTTAAACAATTGTAATCTTTATGTTTGAGTTTTCCACATGTATTTTAACATGTAATATATGTTTTTAACATGACAATGATTTTTGGTGACTAAATCAATCGTTTTACACACAAATAGAGGTGAGTGTGACAAGAGAAAATGTGATATCGAATTAAATTAATATCCCGTTGCTAAAATTAAATTTAGCACATAATTAAATAACGTGATAGCTAGGGTGGGCCTGAAGAGTCACTTCAAGCTTCATATTATTTTTGAATGGGCTTTCATAAGGTGTCACCAACAATCAAATACCAACGAAACACGCAACTTAAATAAACACAAACAAATCCACACAAGTCATCTTCATACCTTCCTCTCGTTTTCCTTCCTTCTAATCCAATTATTATTAATCATAAACTTAACGAGTGCCCTCACATGTGAAACACACCAAAGTATTCACTAACATTTTCAACTTTTTTGCATCCTAGTTAAATTTTAATTGGATATTGTGGACATCTTCAATGAGTTGTGGAAAAAAGTGAAATAAGTTCTCATCGTATCATCATTAAACAATTTTTATTTAATTTTATTTTAATAAGATGAATTTTAGACCATTCATTATTTTATATATTTTTTATATACTATTTTAATATTTTATATAAAAATTAAATAAATATATTCATTAAATAATTAATTATTTTAGATAATAACACACCATCATATTTTAATATAAAAATAATATGAAATACATCATATTTAAATAAATATATTAAAAAGTATATTACATAAAATTAATTTTTATTATTCTCACATTTAAAATTGTCAAATGTTCTACAAATTTTTCTTGAAATTGGTGATTAATGCTTCTATCTTAAAAACGGTCACTCTCTTTCAAAAGTATATAAATATAAAAATAGAAAGGAAACTTAAAAATATATGAATAATTGATATATTTTTTTTTAATATTATAATCAATATGATTTTGATCAAAATGTAATCATTTTTCAACATGTTGTCAAATATGATATATGTATAAATTATATTATTCTATGAGTATCAAAAAACATGTCGGACCATGTATAACTATAAATTGATATTGAAAGACTCAAAATACATATTCAATTGGAATTCATAATTAGAAAAGAAGAAAGATATTAAAATAAAGAATATGTGAAAATTTCTTATTACACTTAATGAAGGTTTTTATAGTATAAAAAAATTAGAGGTGATAGTGAAAATTGAAACTGCATATTAACAATTATTCGACAGTTAATAATAAACACATTTAATAGTTGTTTTTTTTTTAAAACATTTTCTATGGAATATGCTCTATGTACCATGAAAAAAGAAAAGTTAAACTTTGAAAGAAGTTTCACAGTTATTTAAGCATAAATAATCATCCAAAATTAAAGAGTACTTAATTAATTTTAAAATTATAAGATGTTGATGGTTTAAAATCTAGGGTTTTCAATATCTTAAGAATCATTTTTCCTATTCATTTGAAAATCAAACCAATCAATTCAACCTAGAAATCAACTAAAAATTGATTTTTTATTTTTAAATAACTAGGTTTTAATTAAATTATGTTGAATGGTTGGGTCAAATAAAAAAGAAAAATTTAAGATAATTTTTGTTATAAAAAAGATAATATATTTTAAGTTTTTTTTTTATCTCATATTAATTATATTAACTACAAATAAAAATTATTTTATTTAATTTTATTCTTATCTTAATAATTATCTATCGTATTTTTTATATATTATATATTTGATATTCTATCTTTTAATATAGTTCATGATAATCATAATAATAATATTTATTATTATTCTTTTATAAAAAAATATTTTTGGTAATAATTTTATTATATACTTATTATACTATAAAATTATTATTTATTAAATTCGATTGAAAATCCTTTTAAACCGATACGACCGATTAAATATTTAAATCTTAGAACTCGTGTTTTTTATACTACGAATCTAATTTTGAAAACATTGCTCTTATCAATCTTTATATGTTCGAAAACACTCTATGCACATTCCAATCACAAGTATTTTCAATTAATACATTAACGTAGGAATCCAATTTTCACCCAATATATTGTTGATTTTGTGGAGAAAATAATAGACCATGCTTAAAAAAATACACAGCCGATTATATGATTTTCTAAGCATAATAATTTATGCTCAGTAGTAAACTATAAAAGAAATTGTCCTATTAAATATTTTAAGTGACTTCACACACAGCTATATAAATTTTGCACCATCACAAATTCTTTATTAATTACTCCTTTGACCCCAGATTGACTCGTTTGATAGTAAATTTTAAAGATACAGGTAAATTAAATCCATTAATTGGCAGTTACAAGTGATGTTAAAAACTGTCGGTTTCCCATGTTTAAAAATCTCATCAATTTGAAAACTTTCTGTTTCTCATCATGAAATTTTAGACAATAATTTGAACTTTAAGGGTGGGGGAATTGTTTACCCTTATCTTCTTCAGGTCTTTTGACCTCTTCTTATACACAATTTCATTTTTTTAAAATGAACATATAATATTTACAATTTATAAAGTGAATAAAACATATTCATTTATTATTTTTTCTGATGAATACCAGGTCTAAGTAAAAGGCGTGAAAAAAAAAAAACACTAAATTTCTACACGAAGGAATTGGCCTTTTGACTTGAAAATTATTACAGTGGTTTTTAATTGTAGTGTATGCAATGATGGGTATTGGATCATTCAATTCAATGGAGTCTGCGGTTGAAACGTCAGCGTTTTGTCTCGGTCAACACCTTTCACAGTCAACCATAGCCACCTTGATCGCTGCTTCGCCTCTTTCATGGCCAACAATAATCAACATGTTGTAGCTTCTCATCATAAATTATGCTGATTTTTTTTTTTTGTATTTCAGTAAAATAAATTCTATTCCTAATTTATACCTTTTAAGCATGGGATTTTTAGTTAAAATTTTAAATACAAGATTTGTTTTTTTTAATAAAATTTTATACTAACAAAAAGTAGAAATTTTTAATATACTAGATTTTTTTTTATGAAAAGGGAATGGATTGAATTAACGTGGATAAAAGGTTTCTGTAAAAGAGTATAACTTTGCTTCTTTAAAAGTTATATAACTTTTAAATACACCATTTCCTTTGTTTATAAGTGGAAAGCAAACACACCATTATTATTATTATTTGACTTGTGTTATAATTAAATGGAAGATGTGTTCTATTAATATATGCATTTAATACATTAGGGTATGAATTAATTTCGTGAAAAAATAAATTATAAATTGGGGTAATTGAAAAGGGAGAGATATATGGTAGGGTTTAGTTGACTTGGTCAATGGTCATGGAAGAAGAAAATCCGAGAAATGTAACGGGCGAACTGTAATCACGTTGACGGGTCTCTCTTTCTTTCTCCTTCCTTGTAACTCTCTGCACCATTATCACGTATTACTAGATACTACTGTTCCTTCATCGAAGACTTTTGCTCTTTATGCTTTCATATATCCTTTTCGTACCCACGCTTCCTTTGCTTTGCTTTGCTTTCACTGAAGAACATCATCTTCCCCTTTTTTATTGGTTTCTGTGTTTTTATTAATCATTCTGGTTAAGTATCAGATTTTGTTGTAAACTCAATTAAGTTCATCTGTCTCTCTCCAGAGAGGGTCAACCCTGTGCGGAAAAAGAGGTTATGATTCCATTCAACCGTTGCTTTTTGTTCACCTTGCTTATCTATGGTAGAGCTGCGTCCAAACACGCTGCTGAATGTTAAATTCACACGCCTGCTGATTTTGCTGCTTTAAGAACGAAATCAGTATTCATTAGCACTCTGTCTGTAGTAATCTGATTTTTGGTGCGGTTCAAGGGAGAAGATAAAGACTTGCTTCTGTTCCAATTCTTTCTTGGAAGTTGTTTCTTACTCATCATCTTAACTCTAGGTAATTTATTGTTTATTACAATGTTTTTGGAATTCCTTTTTAACTTTAGTCTGAATTAAATATACATTCTGTTAACCTTATACCAATTTAGGTTTAATTTATAACATGTAAACTCACGTTTTATTTTAAAAATTCGAATTGAATATATATTTTTTCCCCAACTCAGTATATCTCAGTTTGCGTCGTGACAATCCATATGGGTCCTAGGAGCTATTTTGTCACCTGTGTATTCAGTTTTCTTCTAAATGCATGTGTGTTTCTCTGATAGGGGAATAAAACCACCGCCACGGTTAAATTTTCACATTCAAATTTATATTTATCTCTTCTGGTGGTGTCATATATACTCATTTGATCTCTATAAAAAAAAACACAAAATATAAAAAATGAAACATTATTTAAAAAATTACAAAAATAATGTATGAACACTAGCTTGGTAAATACCTAAAGAGAAAAAAAGATAAATAAAGAAAAATATAAATATGATAGGGAACATAATCAAATAAGAAAAGAGAGATGCATTTGAAACTCCTTTTCCTGTTTAACTTTATTGCAGCTTTCCAGTTTACAGAGAAAAATTAAGCAATAACGTTGTTTATCAGGAAGTTGACCTTATAGGAAGAAATAGCGTGTCAAAACGGAAGATTTCGTTGAAGTAGAAACCTACAGGAAGATATGTTGCGTGTTTATTCAATGATGTATTTTGAATGTTATTTGAAGCCCTATGCTTCTAGCATTTCAATTTAGATTTATGACATATTTTCTTCATACGAAGAGAGATCTTAAGTGAAGGATACTACTAACATTTTAAAGCAAATGAACTCTTAAACGATTAATATTAGTTCCATTTTACTCTAGATGCAAATATATTTTCAGTTCTAGTAACATATTTAGTTCTTAAATGCGTATTATGTTAGCAGGTTGGCCAGTGGGTTGTTACCGAGCTATATCCTACTTTTGTTAGGAACCATGAATTAGCATAAGCATGATTTTTTGTTGTATTAGTTATTCTTACAAATAATATGAAAAATTTTCTTTCCTTGTCTAATGTGTAGGTCTAGGACACTCCTAATGAGAATGGATATTTCCATTGGTGAAGGGGAGGCCTTACTTAATCCCCGCCCATTTAAGGTACATGAATTTCAGTATTATGTTTATTGAGAATGTTTTCCAGATCTTCTACTTTAACTTTACCTATCATATTGATTTTTCTTAAAAAAAAAAGGAAAAGTCAGTCATGAAGTTAGTGATAATTGTTTCGATTTTCTACTTTCACTAACTGGTATTTATTGAAGTTAGAAGAAAACGCAACTGGCTTCAATTTTCTTTTGTTTAGGATATGACATTGCCTTCTTCAACTGCACTGTGATATTAGAACTAACCAATCTATTAATCGGAATTTATGTTAACAGGTTCATAGTAAAATCTGCACAGAACTTGCAAAATTTGTAGATAGAATCTCAAGAAAAGTTCCAGACATAGAGGCGGCACGGCCAGGATTCTCATCAGGAATCGAGTCTCTGTGTTTGCTGAACAATGCAATTGAAAAAGCCAAACTACTTTTGCAGCATTGCTCTGAATGTAGCAAACTCTACCTGGTGTGTAGTCCATTCTTTATAAATTTAAGAAATTATATACCTTTACTTTCCGTCAATAAAATCTAAAACAACTCACACAATGTACGACACCTCATTTCTTCTTGAACACCCTCAATTTCATCCTTGAAATATTGCTCTCAATCCTGAATGGTCCGTTCAGTAAACAATTATATAATAATTTTTTCAAGTATTAGACATCATATTTAATAGTGAATATATTGTAAATTGATGGATATTCAATACTTGTAAGATTAGTTGTATAGTTATATTAATTTATAAGTTATTTACGAGACAGTAATACCCAGAGGATGAAATTGGTAGTTTATTCATTTCTTCTTTGTCAAGCTTATAAGAAAAATATGAGCACCTAAAATTACATATGATCTTATCACTTATCAGTGGAGTATACTTTCAGGTTGCATTATAGAGGTGATACTGATGATAGTATAGTTGGTTTAAATATTACTTTCAGGCTGTGACAGGGGATACAGTACTCTCAAGATGCCTAAAGGCAACAAGACTATTAGAGAAAAGCTTAATCCAAATTCAGAATATGGTTCCAGTTATTTTGGCTGTAGAGGTCAGCCAACTTATATTCTCCATTCATTTCCTTCTTGGTGCTATTAGATTATTACAATTGGTTTAACTGGATCATTAAACTGTAAAATAAAATGATCATTTGTTTTTTAAAAACAAGCACAGTAACTAGCGTCATCTGACTTTTCTTTTAAGTCTATCCAAATGGAACTTCATTCTAATAATCTAGTTGGCTTTGAAATATGCTGTTATGTTACTTTTCAGTTGACATTGAAATATGACTTGCAGGTTTCTAGAATAATACATGATCTTGAGTGTACGAGATTTGTTCTGGACCCTGATGAAGAAGAGGCTGGGAGGGTTGTGAGAGAGTTGCTTACTTCAACCTCAGATTCAAACGATGATTCTGAAGTTAAAGCTCTCCAGTCTGCAGCATCTCGACTGAAAATAACATCCCCAAAGGCCATCGTAACAGAGCAACGATCTATTAAGAAGCTGCTTGATAAACTTGGACCAAATGACCTGACAAAGAAGAAGATACTGAGATATCTTCTGCATCTACTGAAAAAACATGCAAAGCTCATGGTGGAAGAACATGTGGAGAGGGTTCCCGAAGAACAAGTTGCAACAGAGAACTCTAGTCAAGATTCTCTACGAAACGATCATGTTGTGTCAGACCAAAGCTTAAACTGTGATGAGTATAGAACTCACATAAGTGAGCTGAGTGGAGTTGCCCCCCCTGAGCAATATAAGTGCCCAATATCCTCAAGGTTGATGTATGATCCTGTTATCATTGATTCAGGAGTAACATATGAAAGGATGTGGATAAAAAAGTGGTTTGATGAGGGTAATGACATATGCCCCCAAACCAGAAAGAAACTAGTACATATGGAATTAACTCCAAACATGGCCATGAAGGAGTTAATATCAAAGTGGTGCAGAAAAATTGGAGTCTCTATTCCAGATCCTAGTAGCCGTGCAGAAGATATTCGCTCATGGGACGCTTCAAGCACTTCCATTAACAGTTTAGGAAGTTATTTCAATGATTTCAACTATCCAGTGGATCTTAGTAACATGTCAATTGGGTCACTTGATACTAGTTTTAGTTCAGATGCCTCGCATGGTAAGACCACCCGTGCTTCTATGTTGATCAAGACCAGTAACAATTCTGAAAAACATCAACTTCGTACAGAGATGCACGATACTGATTTGATGCTCTTGCCTCAACTCCATGATCTTCAATGGGATTCTCAATGCAAGGTCATTCAGGATCTGAAAGATCATTTGAAAAGTAATAGCCAAGCTTTTGTGTCGGTATCAGCAGAGAATTTCGTTGAGCCACTCCTCAGATTTCTGAGCAATGCATATGATCTGCGTGATGTTAAAGTGCTGAGAGCTGGAACTCAGCTTCTGTTGGAGTTTGTGAACAACTGCAGGCATGATTTCTTTTACCCTTTCTGAATTTTGTTATTTGTATATTGCTAAGTATTTTGGTTTGCTTATATTTTTCGATTGTGTTTTTTTTTGGGTTAGTTTTGTCTAAATTATTTGACATCTATCCTTCATAACAATGTTCACTTGTTGGAGCATATTTCATCCTTCAATTTCTTTAGTCTCTTTGTTACCGACAGATACATGAAGAAAATATCTTTAGATATTACTCATTTTACTTAAGTTTACAAATGGTGAGACTCCCAACTTCTCACATAAACTACTATTAATTATATTGGAAAAGTTATATTGAAAACCGCATATCCTGAACATCCTTCCAACAACCGTGTTGTATCATCATTTTTTCTTTTAAAATTAAATGATATAAATTAGTTTTATAACAAAATATAATATAAAATAAAGGTAAGATGGATGTTTTGTTATTGAGTGGTGATACATGAGACTCTCTAAGACGAACAACTCTCTTTGATAACCCATCTTTATTAATATAATAATAATAAATTATTTTTATTATGTTTATCTCGGAGTGTCAATATATCACCGCTATTTGAAGGTGTCAATTTATCACCATTCTAATTATATATTTAACTAAATTAGCTTTTAAAATTTATGTGTTAAATTTGTCATATACATAAATTTTCCTCTGTCATTATTACGAACAAGTACATAAAAAACGTTTAAATTTTAGAAAAATGAAAATAATACGAAAATATTTTAGGAGACCTATTTAATATATTTAAATTTTTAGAGGGACATTAAACACATTTTACTCATTTTTTACTTTCGTAACTTTCTTCCTGGCTTAAAATTGTTTGATCGCTTTATCAGTGCACCTGCCTGTTTATATTAGAATGACTTTGTTATTTTTTATATTTTTTTATATGTATATTATTTGATGCAGAAATGGTGATACTAATTTGAATGAAGAGACGTTCATTATGTTGGCAAGTTTTCTTGATTCAGAAGCGATGGAAGAAATTCTTGCCATAATGGAAGAACTGTCAGGACTTGGGGTTAGTAAAGATAAAATTGCAGCATCCAGTGCTCTCACTTCTATTTTAAACATACTTGATTCGGAAAACAAAGGTTTCCAACAACAAGCTATTAGAATAATGTACAATTTGTCCTTCAGTCGTGAAGTCTGTCCCCGCATGTTATCTCTCAAGTGCATCCCAAAATTACTGCCATTTTTTAAAGACAGAACCCTTTTGAGATACTGCATATATATATTGAAGAATCTTTGTGATACTGAAGAGGGTAAGAATTCTGTTGCTGAAACGAAGGGATGCATAGCTTCTGTTGCTGATATACTTCACACAGGCAATAATGAAGAACAAGAGCACGCACTAGCAGTTCTAGTCTCTTTATGCTCTCAACATGTGAATTATTGTAAGTTGGTAATGCGTGAGCATGAGGATATCATAACTCCTCTTTTCTTGATCTCCCAGAATGGAAATGATAAAGGAAAGGCAAGTGCGTCGGAATTGATCCATATTTTGAATGATGTTAACATTGTTGAGAATGAAGGCTGCCCAGAACCAAATATCAGCAACTCTTCTCGAGATTCTGACAGCCACCCTGAAGAAAATAGACCATCGAAGAGATCCCCTTTTTTTAAGAAACTATCACCATTCTCAAAGTCCTCAAATGCATCAAAAACCAAAAGATGAGAATGAATTCCTCTGCATTTCAACCTTGTGATCTTATTGTGGGGACAACAGGTCACGTTCAGATGAGTTCCATATGGGTTTTGGCTTTTCAGCACTTGCGGCATTTTTAGCCTTAAAGATTCATTCGCAAAGCATCTGCTACTTAATTTTGCACTGTAACAACAGGTAGTAAGATGATGTATAGTTTGTACTTATGATAATGATATATTCTTTTGAGTATTGACATTACAATTTAGGGCTTGTGAATTGTTAAGATAATAGACAGTTTTCTGATTTTTCTTTCCCTTCCTGTCAATATACTACTAGGGAGACCAATTACACATTTCTTGTTTATTCTTATTGTACATACATATATATATATATATATATATATATATATATATATATATATATATTAAACACTTAAGTACTTTTAATACTACTGTAAAATATATATTATCTTAATGAAAGTGTTTGCCATTATTTATTAACTTTATTTTTTTGTTTAATTGAATAGACATGTTGATAATTGAGGGTAGCTTAAAATTTTTTGCATTCTTTGGGCGACCAATCTTACATTAGTAATTTTATTTCATTATTTCATTTAGGACTATCTTGGCATAGTGGTAAGGTTGTTGCTTGGGCTGTTCAAATCTTGAAAACAGTCTCTTCACTACATATATCCACTATTCCCAAATCACGCTTAGTTAATTTCTCTTATTCCCAAATCATTGATAAATTGGTTATGTGATCATGCTTTTGCAGACAACTTTAGGATTAATCTTTTTTTTTTCTTCTAAATTTGTCAATCCAACTGGTTTATCTAATCTGTCCTTCTCTAGATTTGATCTTAGTAATTGTTGAAACCATTAGTGTGTTGTGCTGATTCTATCTTTTTTTACCCCCAGTTTAAGTCGTTTTTACTCCTCTCTCGATTGTAGCGTTTGATCCTCTACAGTTTTTAGGAAATCTGCTAAATCATCCTTTTCCGTCAATTGACTTTTACTCACGCTACTTTGTATATATTGTTAAACTTGAACATTTAAAAATAATAATCTTAAAATATATAAAAATAAACTAATTCTTAATACAGGCTAGATACTTTTTGGTGTCTTAAAAAGTTACAGCGCCTTCTGTTAGTCTCTAAACAAATAAAAAAAATGCTATACACTTTAAAGAATTTAAAAGGGTTATTCAGCTTTATTTGTTTTAAGAAGAAGCTTTATGAAATTTTCATTTTAATTCCTAATTTTTATAAGTAAAACCCATTTTAATTGTTTTTCTTTCTATAACTTTGCAATAAAAAGCCAAAGTAACATTTCATAACAAACATTTTAAACAGTTAGTAAATAAAATAATCAACCTGATAAATTTTAAAACTAGAATGGCTTCCTCGCATGGTCAAAGCATCCACCAACCAAATTGTACTATAGTTATTATATTTTCCGGTTTGGTTGGGCTACTTCAGTAAGTATTATTGTTTATAAACTTAAAAATGGTGTCCAACGATTTATTTGTCTCAAACTATAAACAGAAAATACATAGATTAGCCAAAAACCAACCCAGGATTCAATTGATTAGCTATAATTACCAGGGAAATACCGGTAGGTAATAAAAATGATATTTTAGCTCAGACCAAATGCGTCTATATAAAGTCACCTGTATAACTACTAATGATCATTGGAGGAAAATGACAGATCGGAAATACATACAACTAAAAATTCACTATTGTTTGTGAGAAATACAACGCGAGTGAAGATTCGCTAAGCTTCCTTTTTAGTTGCAGGGCTATGAAACAACATAAAGTTAAATTCCAGAATCAACTAACAGCACAATGGGAAAATACTAAAGACTGCATAGCTAAAGATCTCAGTTGCATGTTTCCACCAAGCCTGATGGAACAGTGCCTGGCATATTACATGTATGACAAACCAGAGGACGATCCAGTGTCATTGGTCATTCACAGGCTGGTTTGGTATCAAAGCTGCTCTAGCAGATGATCCAGTGCCATTGGTCTCATTCACAGGCTGGTTTGGTATCAAAGCTGCTCAGGCATATGGCAAAGGCTTGGAAGGCAGAGAGCGGATATCGGTAATCCATGGTAAATATGTCTTTTCCAATCTTTCCAAACTGCAAGATTACTTTTTCTTGCTCTGCAGCAGAAACATTATGAGATGGATTAACAGCGGCCACAAGTTGAAAGTTTTTAACAGAAGCCACTGTGACACGACCCTTGAAGTTTAGGCACCAGCATTGCAGTTGCTCGTGCCATCTAGGAGCCTTATTTTTAAGTACCATGGGCTCAGCTGAGCCATGGTTTGCTACTGGTAGCTGAGGGAGGTTTACATTGTTTAAATCTCTAATTGAACTTTTTCCTTTTGGTGCTGGTGAGGGAGAAAAAGGCCCGTCAATGATTTGTGGTAAAGATGTAGGTGTTGGAGCATTGCCCCCTTCCTGAATAGCTGAGACAGGTATGGAGTTCATGGTGCAGTGCATTCTCCTTGGACCTCTCGCACGGAGAACATTCAACTCATAGGCAATGGTGCTAACTACATAGTTACATGCTGGAACTCTAGGAGATACCTGCTTAGAATGAAATCTTCTACTAGATTGAGTATCTGGTTGAATGGTAGGTCCATGTGGTGGTTGGCTGTCATAAATAGTGAACTTGGTACCCAAAAAATTAGACCTGTCAAAGTTTGTTGTCAGGTCACAGATATGGTAAGGAGCAAGATGAAAATAAAAAAGAAGGCAACTTGCTATCAAACCAAAACTTGCCTGAGTTTTCCAACATATGTGTTGCTGGAGCGAGAGAAATCATCTGCAACCAAAGATACAACAAAGTCTGTGCCTGTTGCCCTTCTTACCTTTTTGGCAGCTAAAAACAACTTATCAGTCTCGTTCTCCGCTGCATTATTAACATCAAAATAATACAACTTGTCAGATATCACTTCAAAAACAAAAAGTTGGCTTCGGGTAAATCCATATTATCCAATATTCCTCTTATTTAAATAGCTCTAATATATTCTGGTTCACAAAATATGTGTGTGAATACCAAGTAATCCATTTGAGAACAGAGTTCCAAGGATGATGTTGACCATTGCGCATATATAAATGAGTTTGATAATACAATAGCACACATCAGCAGTGAACAAAGTAACAAACTTACATGGCACCAGGCCAATGTACAATAGATATGTAGAAGTTTCTCTGTTCCTCCTGATGAAGCACTGTATCGGGGAATCACGAGGGCCAGGCTATTCATACACATAAGAGAAAAATAAGAAACAGAAAAAAAATAAAAGGGAAAGATGAAGAACTGATTGGGCCAGGCAAGGGTAAAGAATTTATTACCTGTTTCAACGAAATAGGAAATGTGATCCTTCCACACTGTTCAGGAGTCTTGACAATCTCTTTTGTAACATCTCTCCACGATTTACAAACCGAACCACAATGAACAACAACAGCACGTGCAGGCCAGGTAGTCTCACTTTCTTCCACCCTACTTATAATGTCCAGAAGCAATTCAGGCGGTAAATTCGCCCACTGCCCTTGCTGAATGGGTTCAAGATTAGTTAGAGTGATATCTGGAGCAACATGCGACTTTGTCCGACCATTCCAACGCCTGCTCTCCACACCTCGCCTTGACATGCTGCCAATACCATCTCTCATCTCCTTCAGTTCTCTTACTATGCTTTTCAACGACATTTTCACAGAGCATATCAATCTTCCTTCCACCACAAAAACTGCAACCACCCAAATAAATCTCCACTCTACAAAGTGAAAAAACAACCCTATGTATCACAAAGTCATCTCTTTTAAATTATTGCTCTTAACACAGCATAATGCATTGAAACCAAAACTAATCTAATTCCAGCTCAAAACACATTTACAGATCATACCTCGCTAATTACAAGCCTGACCCTAAGTCTGACAAGGTTAATATATAAAGTAACAAAACTAAGGTATAACCTAATTTCCTTCTCCCTCCCTAAAAGTACCATAGATTAAAAAAAAATAAAACAAAGCGAAGACTTCATAGCAGACACCGTGTACTAATCGATCTATAAATTCTGATAACAAACCGGAATGCAGAATGCCGAAACATATATTAATTTTCTTCTTCTTTAAACACTAAATTAGGGGTCTAAGAAAACAGAACAAAACCTGAGAAAAATTGAAGCGAGTAACGGAGAGTCAAATCGCAGGAAATCAGCTGAGAAATTGAGAGGTGCGGCGAGAAAGAGGCAATAAGAAATGGAAGTTGTAGAAGGCGGATCGACAAGCGTGAAGAAACGAATCGGAGAAAGCAAAAGAGAGACACGAGTGAGAAGATGAAGTGGTTTTGAAGCGAAGAAGGTCAGGCTAGGTTAGGGAGATGGAGTTGGAGGAGTCGTGGGAGGGAATATTCCGGCGCCAAGTCTCCGCCACCAGAACCGTCGCGAAAAAGTTAGTCCCGGACCGGAATGGTGTGCCATGAATCGGATCCACCCTTTTATGTTAAATCTTATTTTAGTAACGTGGTTGCAGAAAGCGAAGCCTAATTTATTTGAGGGAATCCAGTACCTCCACCCACACTGCTCCCTAATTCCCACATCGCGACACGTGGCAATCCTGGCTCTTCCTCTTCATCATCTTACTCCTAACTAAACTATGGTGATCAAATCGTTCGTTCATCACAACTTTAATTTAGTTTACTCTATCAACGGTTCTCCGTTATCTTGGTGCAAATAAATCATATCCACTCACACAACTTCCTCTTCACGCTAATTACGTGTTTCAATTATAACTAATGCCATCGTACACCCATTATTAACAATATAAAACAAATCATATTAACGAATAACCAAGTTATTAGATTTTAAATTTATTAAATCATGTGTATTTCTGTTAAATATTTTGTGTTTTTGTTTTGTTAAACAATAATTTAACTAATGTTTTAAATTGTGGTTAATTAACGGGATAAAAGCGCCAATATTTCATTTTGAAATGATTATATGTACAAAATACAGCTGGATATTAGTGGCTTGCATTCACAATTAAGAATATGCAAAGTTAAATTTTAATGATGTTTTTGGATATAAAATATTTAAAAAATTAAATAAAAATGAGAGAGTTGAGGTGGGTTGTTGCCACAGCATTGGTGATCAGTGGTGACTCAACTCCACACTCAACAATGAGATCATACATAAAATCGACGTGCATAGAGAACCAATTGAAAAGGAATCAACGTTCAACACGATTTATTAATCACGAAATAAATTAAAATTTCAAAGGTTTTAATTATATCGGTCTATTCAGTTTTAATTACATTTTAATAAAAATTCAGAACATCACAAAAAAATGATAAAATCCAGATTTATTTAATTTTATAAATAAAAACTCAATTAGCTTTGAAAGGTTAAAAGACTAAATTCTGCAGAATCTAAATTAATAATATAACTGAAGAAGGAATAAGACAAAGAAAGGAGCGGAAGTATTAAATCCCTTGAAGGAATGCACGTTCCTTAATATCAACTATATTGACACGTCATTAGTTAAATCAATATCTCAAAGTTTTCATAATACTGCAAATCGAAAATAAGTAAAACTTGACGAAAAACTATTTTTATCAATTATATTAAATTTGAAAACCGTTTAAATAATTCGAATTTAAATATGATATATTAATTACCACAGAGATTAAGAATAAGTTAGAATTTGTAGCGGATAAACATAAATTTTTGTTGAAATGTTTTAAAATTTACAATTGAAAATATTGATGATATAATTTCTATAAAAGTACTTAAGAATAATGATATATATGAGATTCACAATAAATATCTGCTGATAATTGTCTGTAAGGTGGAAGGAAGGAGAGGACAGAAGAGAAGAACAGATTTCCCTCTTGCACGTGCTGCGTCGCCACTGTTCTTTCTTCAACGTTTATCTTCTTCTATCCATTGCTCCACTGAACAAACATGTCGTGGGCCTCATTCATTTCTCACTTTATTTATTATGTCTTTGCAATTTATTTGTTTTTTCCTATGTTCATCCATTATCGTCACTTGAACATTAATTATGGTGCTCAAATGGAAGCTTCCTCATTGTGGTGGGGCTTCCTCAAATTCAGTACTCATCTTTCAAACTATGTACCTGGAATGGAGTGCCTCCCATCATCTTTTTTTTTCATAAATATTTCCAGAAAGAGTGAGTGGATAATATCGGTTCTTCTTTAGTTCACGTTTTTATATTGTGTTTTAGCTTGTCTTTGTATTGTGAAGCAAATGTCCACCCTTATAATAATCCTGTTTCAATAAACCCTTACAACTTAATTAGATTTTGTTTTTATTACAATTTGTTATTTTCTAAAAAAATAAAGAACAAGCCGTTTGGGATGAATTTAATTATAAAATTTAAAATTAACATTTAATTTTTGCTTCTTCTTTTTTTAGTTAATATATCAATTCAGTAAATAAATTTACATTATTTTAATTTTTTCACAACTAAATTTTAAGGTTAACACGTGAGATTGAAATCCAAAAAGGAATCATAGTTTTATTAACCATCACAATTCTAATTTGAATAAAAAAATAAAAACATCGAGTACCAACTTCATTCACATGGTAAACCCCCAATATTTCAAATCAATCAGAGAAAAATGTTCAAAAATACCAATAAATTACAATGATAATGTTGTGGTTGCTCACCGAAACTCAACAAACCCTACGAATCACTGAAAAAATATAAAATAAATTTTAAGTTGGACTCATATAATCTGAAATAAAAGAATTAATTTTAATTTCATCAATATAATTATTTGTTACGAGGAATAGTAATTAATCTAAAAAATTTGACTTACAAAACATATTTGGAGTGATAAACTAGTTACTTGTTCACTCTTCTGTTCCACAAACCACAATCCTCCAACACATTAAATTTATAAAGACGAATATGCTTTTTGTATTTTCAATATTTAATGTGAATTGAAATAATTATTTGTTCGTAAAATGTCGTCACGTAGAGATTAATTAACATAATTTGAAAATTCATGATAATGAGTTATTAACGGATAAAAGTTTAAAGGAATGAATGAATACTGAACAAGTTCACATGGTGTTGGACCCCCCCAGTTCTAATCTTTCATCACAACTTCTCTCAACTCATCTACTGTGTCCCAGAAACCCAGCACTTTTTGCCTACCTGTTTATCTTCCCACACCAACAATAATATATTTTTAATTTAGTATTCCATTGGAGCATCGTTATATCTTTTTTATGTTTTTAGATTTTAGTATGCATTTATATGATTTTGGAAAACATTGATTTTCTTATTTTTATGAAATATATGTGGTTTATATATATATATATATATATATATATATATATATATATATATATAATTTGACTTTTTATGGTTTGAGGGATTTGTTGTGATGCATAATTTATACCATAAACTATAATTATAGTAATATGTAATTAACTTTTAATAAAACATATTTATAATGATACAATAAATTAATGAGGTTGAACTATTACTTAATACGATTGTATAAAAAATTATTTATTACAAAATTATAATTGTAGAAAGTGGACGTGAGATTCTCAGATAAGAAATTGTAAATTATAAATGAAAGAAGGAACGAATACTAAAAAAAGGAAGAGTAAAGATGTTTTCATTATGATTGAGTTACGAAAATGAAAATATTCATTTTTATTATTTTTAATAAATTTATTATATTTTAATTTTCTTTTAATCTAAAATTATTCCTATTGGAGACACATGTGGTAGTGCTCAATGGCTATGTTGGATGGATACTTATGGAGGTGTCCAAAATAGTCTAAGTAACGGTGACGACACAAACCTGAGTTTGAGAAGCAAAAACATTAGAAAAAAATAAAATAAAAACTCTAACATAGGCAAAAGAAATAGCTCGATTAAAGAATAAACATGAAATTAATTATTCACAATAAAGGCAAAAGAAATGTTCATTTAAAAATGTATTAAATATGAACATAAATAACGAGTATCTTGACTCTTTAAATAAACATGTTGAAGGGAAACTTAGGTTAATTATGTAAATGTATTTTGTATTGATTTCAATTAATAGTTTATATAACCTTAGAAATTAAGTTACATAATAAAAGTGTGTCTTATGTTAACAATAAAACAAAGTTTCACTAGAAAACTAGTTATTTTGTGATAATTTATTTATAAAAAATTGTTTAAATTTATAAAGAATATATTTTTTGTAATTTTTTTAAAAAAATTATAAAAATATTCTCATAAAAATGAAACTTTTTAGTATTTTTAATAGTTTTTAATTAAACAATAATATTAAAATGCACGCAAAATTTGTAGTTAATTGCTGTAACGAAATTCTGTATATTAATTTTGGTAGAGATCATATGAAAATTCTTAAAAATGTAATCTAAAATATAAACTTACTCATAAAATTATAAACATCTATTTAGCTTCATCTTATATTAATAAGATATAGATAATTTCACTTTATCAGTGAGATCAGGATCGGCTCAAGATCCAAACAGCTAAAACCCTGGCTTTAACTTTCTAAGAAAGGTCTCTCAAATTTTTTTTAATACTAATATTATTTTTAACCATTTTTTTTAATAAATCATAATTTTTGTAAGAAAAAAATTGGTTAGTTAATATTAATAATTAAAGAAATTTAAAAGTTTTTTTTATCTCTATTATTTTACTAATTAATT